GTTGAATGAATAAGGTTTAGGGTAAAATTATTGTTTTGACAGCTAAATAAGATTTCGAGTTGTATAGAGTTTAAGCATGCTTGTACATGCTTGCACATGTTTGACTTTAATTTTTGAATATGTATATAATACTTATTATATATATTTAGATATACTACAGTTTAATCTAGGACAGTGCTTCTCATTTTTTTTTTGTCGCGTGATCCCCTAAATTTAATGTAAAACTGTCAAGGCCCCTTAATCAAATCATAAATTATTTTTTCTTAATTGTATACAAAAATTACATGTACCATTTTTTGTACTATTTCACACAGATAAATTATTAAAATTATAGTAAATTAATGTTTTTAGTATACTTTTTTCTTAAAGCCTAAAAAAATAGTTAAAATAAAATAGCCATGCCAGTATATAGCCATGCCTCCAGCTTGAGAAGCACTGATATATGATGACCATATAAATATATCAAGCATTTAGCATAATATATTATATTTTGGTATCCCCAGGATCTCTGTTAATATAATATAATAATATTATATAGGTACAACCAAGTAATAAATGCTTATAAAAAGGACAAAAGTTATTACAAATATAAGCATTTGAATTTTGGATAGCTCATAGGTAATATTATAAATACTAAATTACTAAAATTTTTCCAGTAGATTTCTTGAGTCTGAGTATATTTAATAATTGTTTATAGCACATTTTTTATCTCATAAATTATAGGTATAATATATTATAATAAAGTTTGGCTATATATTAAAATATGTAGTGTTAAAATTATGTACATATTATCTTAGAGAGGCCTTAAGATGGATCAGAGTGGTCTAAGCACCCTCCGGCCCTCCCTTTTCATGTCCATGTAATTATAAATTATTATTTGTTAATTATAACACTCTGAAATAATTATGTATGATAATTTAGTGAATTACCAATAGGTAACTCATACATTTTTCATATATTTTTTTGGAATAGGTAGGAAATTTAAAAATGACAATATTTAATAGGTACCTAATATTAATGACTGTATTTGATAAAAAGAAATTATTTAAATACTTGCATACAAATAATTTAGATCAAAAAAGTAATTATACAATGAAAAATTTTTAATTTTATTCCTTAAATCATAATATATTTTCAATTTTCTATGGCTTTGGTGTACAAAAGCATTCGTTTTTCGGCCTCTTTAGGACATACAGCGCTCCCGGTGGTGACGACTTGACGCGGCTACGGCGGTGGTCTGCTGGTGGTCCGCGGTAAGCCCGCCTCGATGTGGAACGAAGTGAACACAACAAAAAAAATAATGCGACCGAGTTTGAGAGAGAGTATCGTCTTTATTTTTTTTACACAATAACACGGTAACAACGTGGTAGTACAAAAAAAAGTTTATCAACGGTATCGGTGGTGGCTGTTAGCGCACGGCGTGGTCGGATCAGACACGGTGTACGGATCTTTTTCAGAAAAAGGAAGATGTGTGTCGTGTTGAACCGTTGGCGGTCGAGAGAGCGAATTGCCGGCGGCCGGTACTCGCAGTGTTGCCAGGTTAAAAAGGCCGAATGTTCAGACAATTATTGTAAATTGTTCGTTTTGTTCGTATCGTAAAAAAAGTTGATAAGTACCTAAAAAATTTTCCCTCGCTTCGCTCGGTAACGCAAATACTATAGTCTATAAGTATATTGATACTATATTATATTATTTTTTTTTAATAAGTAATATTACATTTTCTTAACTCGAGATAACAACTAAGTCACAAATGATAACTTTGAACAACTATTCTATTTAATTGGGATTTTTAAGTAGGTACACTATGTGCCATACTTTTTTTATCAACATAATTTAAATGAAAAATAAATCTAATAATTAGAAAAATGTAGGATTGAAATAAATACTCATTATTATTGAATTACATCAACATTTTTAATTGTTTATAATAATATAACAATAAAAAAATATATAACCATTTAAACAAAATTAACTTAAGAGGACGCTACACCCGCATGTGTTGTCTCCGTCTTACACACGTACGACATAGACAAAACGCGTTTAGGCAGTCTGAGTATAACTCGCTCAATTTTGGTTCTAGAGTAAAAATACCTATTATGAAATTGAATTGTGATAATATTTCTAAGGGCAAGACGCTGCGGTTTTTTTAAAAAATTTAATTTTTTAAAAGTCAAAGGTATTTTAAAAATGGTGAAATTTTTTCTATTTCTAAACGATATAATGAACGTTATATTGGGTATAATGGAAAAACCGCAGCGTCTTGCCCTTAGAAATATTATCACAATTCAATTTCATCATAGGCATTTTTACTCTAGAACCAAAATTGAGCGAGTTATACTCAGACTGCCTAAACGCGTTTTGTCTATGTCGTACGTGTGTAAGACGGAGACAACACATGCGGGTGTAGCGTCCTCTTAATCTGATAATATAAATAACAATTAACAAATATAAAAGTATTAACACAATAAATCATCCTTTGATTTGTTTTATAGCAAATGTTAAAAAAATATACAATCATACTAATTTAATTAAAGATAATATAGGTAAATTGGTTAATATGTTTTTAGTTATTAAGTACAAAAGTTTAATATTAATTCACTCTCTCAAAACAACTATCCTTCAAAACAAAACTCATCGTTACTATTGTTGTCATAAAGATTACTTGTTGTCATAGAATCTATCATTTTTTTAGAAGGTACAAAATCTATACAAGTATTATTTTTTATTTTTATTCCTTGCGAGGCTAATAAGCATGCTTGAATTGTATCTGTATTTAAGCAGTTCCTAGTTTTAACTTTTATCAGATTAACCTTGCTAAAAATACGTTCACAATCGGCATTAGAGTGAGGAAGAGATAAAGCTTCAATTGCAAAATTTGCCAAATTTACAAATGGATACTCTTGATTTCCCATCTGTAAATTAGATAATTTAAACCAAAAAACATCAGGTTCTTCTAAATGATTTAGTATTTCATTAGGAATTTCAAAGTTAAACAATAATCTCCATTCATCATCAATTTGTTGTAATAATTTATCATTTGATTGTGTTAATCGAGGTAACACAATTAAAAGGGGGAAAATAGAAGCATTTTCTCTAGATACCACTACTTTAGGGTCAATTAACTTTAGTTTTGACATTAATGGATCATTAAAATTATACTTTTTTTTAAATTTGTATGCAAGAGATTTTTAGAAAATGTTGTGTTCTTAAATAAAAGTCATTTAACAAGGATTTATTATTTGCAATGTTAGGTTTTTCTATTTCTTTTAATACTCTTATGCCGAGGTACATTTGTGTAAAAGGTATATATTGTTTATCATTTTCTGGATCAATGTCGTTAATAGGAGTTTTATTAATATAATTTGGTCTCATAAAACATGATAAAATATCTTTATAAGTAGAAATCATTTTATCGTGTAACTGAGTTATCACTACAGAGGAACTTTGGAAAAAATAATTAAGTGAGGTGAATTTTGGCAAGACCCAATCTAAAAACAAAAATACAAGTCTTATGAGAGGGTCTGTGAGTGTGCTGTATATAGATCCTGCTATTGTTAGGCGTTCATTTAAATGCTTATCTTGGAAATATAAAAGTAATGCATCCCATTGTTCTAGCACTCTAGAGTCTAGACACAACTAAGTGCAAAGACAACCACCTTGTCTGACTAGGATGTAGAAGTTTGTGTACTGGAGTAGAACAAAATTCTTGAAACTGCACAAATTGTGCAGATCTTTTTAAACTCATTGAAAAAAATGAATAAACGTTTGTAATGAAAACGCAACGCTTGGTTTATTGTATTGATATTATTGCGCGTTTATTTTCATCATCTTTTGTTATACAGATACAATTTTAATTATGTGTATTACAGTATTTCTTTTGAATCATTCAATTATGTTATACTCTTGCGAGTGTACATAGCAAATAAGTTAAATGTGGGTTTACATAAAATCAAAGGGGGGAAAAAGCGTATACATATAACTCACGGTTCTGTGAAAGGGTATGTGGCTTCTGATGGCTGGGTATGTGGCAATAGGCATCCACGGACAGTGGCGCGATCACGGCGGCGCGGTAATAATATATTATTACCGGCGGGAACGGCTCGACTTTTGACTCAACAGGACGGAGGTATGTTGAATGTAGACAGGAATGGCTCGGATGGTGCAATGGATCGTTGTACGTTGGTCGGTGACACTGGCTACTCAGCTCGGACGGCGGCGCTCAGCGACTACGGACGCGTATCAACACGTTCCAACTCGTTCTCACTGCGGCGGTGGTGGAGTGGAAGGGAATGCCGGGGCAGACTGTATGAATATCCGTTCGTGCCAATATAAATATTGGCCGGCTTGTTCAGTCTGGGGACGATTTGCTGTTGGACGAGTACTTATTAGTATCCGTTCGTGCCAATATAAATATTGGCCGGCTTACTATTTTTCTTCGCAGCTGGGAGAACGTTATTCGTACGGTGGCCAGCGGCTTGTATTTCTGCTATGCCGGGCACGCTGGTTCCGTGTTGTTTGGTCGTAAAATCGTATGTTACGTTTTTCATCATTCGGCGGTTTGTTGATGTGTTTGATATCGACTGGAGTATCTAACTTATAGTTCAGAACTCAAGGAAAAAGAATATGTCACCCGCGACTTGATTGGAGGTGTGGTTCTATTGGAAAACTCGATTTCCCGGTGGGCGGCGGGCACTTGTGCAATAACGCGTGGATGCGCGCTATCTACATTTTCTAGCGGCAGACGCGCGTAGTCGCGGAATAGGTTTCTCGCGGCGGCACTCACTTGTGTTTGCTGGTAATGTATAAAACCAGAGCGCGCCACCTATTTGGTCGCTCCGTTTTA